GTGGCGTGGCCCGTCTGGGCTACTTGCACACTGCCAGGCTCGTGCTGCTAGGTATCTGGCATATTAACTGGGGTGGGTAGGCAAGGTGCATGGGGGCAGGAGGGGCAGGCTTAGCTCGCTTCTCCTTAGGTGATCCACCTCAGGAGGGGCCCTGTGGCAGCTGGAGGGAGTCAAACCCGCTGCCGGAGGGGTGGATCCACAGAAGCACAGCCTTGGGTGTTTGCTGGGTGTTTGCTCGGAGCAAGCAAGTTCCCTGGCAGGAACTGGTTCCCTTTGGGATTTTGGCTGGGGGATGGGCGAGGGAGATGGCGCTGGCGAGCGCCTTTGTTCCCCGCCAAACTGAGCTCTGTCGTCCCGGGGCTCAGCAACTCTCCCTCCCTTTGTCCTCCAGCCTTCCCGCTTTCCGAGCAGAGCTGTTAACTTATGACCTCCCAGATGCTAAGTCGCACTTGCTGTTGCCACACACTCCGTCCGGCCCCTCTGCTTTCGCCAGCCAGACTCAGGGGGCTCTGCTCGCCTGGCAGGCCGCCCCTCCGCCCCGGCTCCCTCCCGCCAGTCCGTGGAGTGCGCACCGCCTTGCTGCCCTTCCTATCCTCTTCCGTGGGCCTCTCGATTGCGCTTGGCTCCGGAGACTCCATTTTGCTAGTCTTCTGGTGGTTTTCTGGGTTAGTTAGGCAGGTGTAGGTGGAATCTAAGTGATCAGCAGGACGTGAGGTGAGCCCAGCGTCCTCCTAAGCCGCCATCTTCCCTGTCTCTCCTCACTTTCAATCTGAAGGTGTCCTCAGGTCTAAAATAAGTCTCTTGTAGACAGCAAATAGATGGGTCTTGTTTTTTTATCCATTCTGATACCCTATGTCTTTTGGTTGGAGCATTTAGTCCATTTACATTCAGTGTTATTACAGAAAGATATGGGTTTAGAGTCATTGTGATGTCTGTGGGTTTCATGCTTGTAGTGGTGTCTCTGGTACTTTGTGGTCCTTGGAACATTTCACTCACAGAGTCCCCCTTAGGATCTCTTGTAGGGCTGGTTTAGTGGTGATGAATTCCTTCCGTTTTTGTTTGTTTGGGAAGACCTTTATCTCTCCTATTCTGAATGACAGACTTGCTGGGTAAAGGATTCTCGGCTGCATATTTTTTTTCTGTTCATCACATTGAAGATTTCCTGCCATTCCTTTCTGGCCTGCCAAGTTTCAGTAGATAGATCCGTCACTAGTCTTATCGGTCTCCCTTTATATGTTAGAGCATGTTTATCCCTAGCTGGTTCAGAATTCTCTCTTTATCATTGTATTTTTCCAGTTTCACTATGATATGTCGTGCAGAAGATCGATTTAAGTTACATCTGAATTGAGTTCTCTGTGCCTCTTGGATTTCAATGCCTTTTTCCTTCCCCAGATCAGGGAAGTTCTCAGCTATAATTTGTTCAAGTACACTTTCAGCCCCTTTTTCTCTCTTCAGCTCTTCTGGAATTTCTATTATATGGATGTTGTTCCGTTTGATTACATCACTTAGTTCTCTAATTCTCCCCTCATACTCCTGGATTTTTTTATCTCTCTTTTTCTCAGCTTCCTTTGTTTCCATAATTTTATCTTCTAATTCACCTATTCTCTCCTCTGCCTCTTCAATATGAGCTGTGGTCGCCTCCATTTTATCTTGCACGTCATTTATAGCATTTTTTAGCTCCTCCTGACTATTTCTTAGTCCCTTGATCTCTGTAGCAATAGATTCTCTGCTGTCCTCTATACTTTTTTTCAAGCCCAGCGATTAATTTTATGACTATTATTCTAAATTCTTGTTCCGTTATATTGCTTAAATCGTTTTTGATTGATTCATTAGCTGTTGCTACTTCCTGGAGTTTCTTTTGGGAATTCTTTCGTTTCGTCATTTTGGATAGTCCCTTGGGTGGCGCAGAACTGCAGGGCACTTTCCCTGTGCTGTCTGGAGTAACTTGTGTTGGTGGGCGGGGCTGCAGTCAGACCTGATGTCTGCCCCCCGCCCACTGCTGGGGCCACAGTCAGACTGGTGTGTACCTTATTTTCCCCTCTCCCAGGGGCAGGACTCACTGTGGATGGTGTGGCCCCCATCTGGGCTACTTGCACACTGCCAGGCTTGTGGTGATGCTTTGATGGGATCTGGTGTATTAACTGGGATGGATCCGCAAGGTGCACAGGGGCGGGAGGGGCAGGCTTAGCTCGCTTTGCTGTCGGTGGTCCCCTGCAGGAGGGGCCCTGCAGCACCAGGAGGGAGGCAGACCTGTCGGAGGGATGGATCCACAGAAGCACAGCGTTGGGTGTTTGCGCAGTGCAAGCAAGTTCAGTGACAGAAACTGGTTTCCTTTGGGATTTCGGCTGGGGGATGGGAGAGAGAGAGATGGCGCTTGCCAGTGCCTTTGTTCTCCACTGAGCTGAGCTCTGTCTTCTGGGGCTCAATAACTCTCTTTCCCGATGTCCTCTCGCCCTCGCTGCTCTCCGAGGGCAGAGCTGTTCACTTTTAACATTCCACATGTTAAGTCCTGCTGGCTGTCAGAACTCATGGAGTCCAGCCCTTCCGCCTTTGCAAGCCAGACTTTGGGGGCTCTGCCTTGC